GGCTGGACTCCCATAGTCCTAGTTATCCTAGGAGTCATCTTAGTAGGTCTGGTGGTCCTAAGGACCTTCCAATGTGTAGCCAGCTGATCCAAAGTACATAAGTTGAGTGGGCTAAGGGCAGTGTGTGGAGCCATTCCCTTGGGGTGTATAGGCCTGTGCCTACTGTAGCAGTGATCTAGAGTCCTAGGGAGACATGGCAAGCTACAGCATGCCCTTGCCTTGGGGTTTGAGTAGCTCCAGGCTTCCAGGCTCTGGAGTATGAGAGGCACATAGGTAGGGAGAGCGAAGAATCCATCTTTTCAGAAACCTTGACAGAGTCAGAGAGTTCCGGGGTGAGGTCACACAGCATCCAGGCTGAGGCCACTGCCATATCTGGCACATGAATGTGCATATGCCTGTTGTCACCCTAGGGCCTGGATTCCGTGAAGGCCAGGAGACCCTGTTTTCCTCATCGTAATCTGGTGAGGACTGACATCAGCAGGTGTCAGGCCCCCACCCACGGGTGTCAAGGTACACTGCATAAGGCTCTTCCTGCAGCCTCCTGGTCAGGCCCAGACAAGATAGGCAGAGACATGAAGCCCAGTGGGCTGTCCCAGCATATCCCAGCTCTGGTCCAGCTCTGCCCTCTGGTCAGCACAGGTGGTCACTGTGGGAACGGCAAGGACTGGACTACTGATATCTTTTATTTCTCCCGATCAAAGTTATACACATGTTAACAAAGCAGGGTGGCACTGTGTGAGAAAACTTTAAAAAGTTACCAACAAAGAGACCAAAAGAAAATAACAGGAAAGCGACTCTTGATAAAATGCCACACAATTTCAGAATTTATCAAAAGCCCTTAATTTGGATATTCTTATAACCTCATATATGGCATGGTGTCTGTGAAGGTTAACATGGTCAGTATTGGGCACTAGTAGTGCCTAGACATTTATTCAAACAGTGTTCTAGACGTTTCTCTGACTTTCTTTGTAAAATAAGATTTACATATAAACTAGTAGATGGATACAACAGATTACTTTCCATCATGTGGAAGGGCCTCATCCAATTGCTTGAAGGTCTTAATAGTCTGGCCTGAGCAGGCAGGAATTCTGCTGACTGGCTGCTTTGGATTCAGACAGCAAGTCTCCCCTGGGAATTCCCACTGGTCTCCTCCATCAGAGTTTGGACTCACTGAGCATCCCCAATGATGTGAAACAAGTTCCCCAATGATTTCTCTGTCTCTCTCAGTCTTTCTCTCTTTACACACACACACACACACACACACACACACACACACACACACACACACACACACACAGTCTCTCCATAGCCCTATGAAACTATGCAGAAAAACAATTGCATCTGTGCATAACAGATTGTTTTTCTTGTCACTGTTGCTAAACAACATAGCATAGCAAGTGTATACAACACATTTATTGTATTAGGGGTTCTAAGTTATCCAGAGATAATTTAAAGTAGATGGGAAGATTGTGGAGGTTGTATGCAAACACCGTTATTTTGTTTAAGAGGTTGGAACATGTGTGGATCTTGAGAGATCCTGGAACCAACCCCTGAAGTTGATGAGGGTCATCCTCAGAATATGACAGCTCCTGGATCTCATTTAGCTTCCGTGGGGCCAGGAACTGAGGCCTAACGCTTAGAATATCACTCTCATCCACAGATAAAGAAGCAGACACCTGGGGCTGGGGATGTAGCCCAGTTGGTAGGATGCTCGTCTAGCATTCACCACACCCTGGGTTCAGCCCCCAACACATACACATCCCATTGGTTCTGTGTCTCTGTGGAACACTGGCTAGTGCTAATACACATTAGGAAAAAAAACAAATCCTATCATCTTGGATGAAGAGGTCTTAGATTTGTTTTCTTAAAGTTCAGGAAAAAGGTTGGGATGGGTACCACCTTCATTATTTCTTCTTCTTTTTGGTTGGTTTTTATTTTGTTTTGTTTGAGACAGGTCTTACTATGTAGACCTGGCTGGCCTGGAACTCGCATCTACCTCTCTCTCCCAAGTGACCACTTTCTTTCTTGATGACAACTGGATCTCATTTAGTTTCTGTGAGACAAGAACCAAGACTTGACTCAGATGACCCTCTGCAATCAAGAAGTCATGACAGGGTGCTGCAAGTTGCCTGGGCTTTGGGGAAGACTTCAGGGCTTTAAAGAAAGTTGCGGTAGAAAGAGTGAGGACTCTGGGAAGACTCCTGAACTGTGGCTGGAGTAGGTGTGGTCCAGTGAGCTGCCTGGAGAAAGGCTCAGTGCCTGGGAAGGTGACCATGCTCAGAGCTGCTCTCAGAGCACAGTGGGTACTTTTTGGATAAACTCAGGAAATGTCCCGCTGGACTGGAGAGGCAGTGTTGACACTCGAAGCTCTGAAGAGATCGGTCGAGCTGTGATGTCACAAGGCAGGGAAGTAGCAAAGAGGAGGAAGACGTCACAGGTACAACCCTGGGCAGGATCTCAGAGACCCTCAGAATATCACTCTCATCCACAGTTGAAGAAGCAGACACCTGGGGTTAGGGATGTAGCCCCTGGTAGAATGCTTACCTCATACTCACCACACCCCGGGTTTAACCCCCAGAACTTCGTAAACTGGGTGTGGTGCACACATGTGATCCCAGCACTTAGAAGACTCTGGGAGGAGAATCAGAAATTCCAAGTCATCCTTGGCTATATAATGAACTTGAGGCTGGCGTAGGCTGCACTGGACTAACACAAGGCACAAGCAGTAGAACTCTTGAGAGGATGAAGCGCCTTGTCCAGGTCACACAGCAAGTCTAGGACACTTGGATACTCATTGTTTCAAGCTGTGGCCATTACCCTTCTTTTAGGAGTAGGCACGCCTCTTTTTCCAGGAAAGGCCCTATTCTCACTCAGCTCACAAGTTGGGGTCCTATATTACGTCAAAGGGTGGGCTTATAGAGAGGGTTTGGCTTATTTGGTATCATGTTGTCTTAGTTAGGGTTTCAATTGCTGTGAAGAGACACCATGACCACAGAAACTTTTATAAAGGAAAACATTTCATTGAGGCTGGATTACAGTTTCAGAGGTTTAGTCCATTATCATCATGGTGGGAAACATGGCGGCGTGCAGGCAGGCAGGCATGGTGCTGGAAGAGCTGAGAGTTCTACATCTTGAGCCACAGGAAGTGAACTGTCTACCACATTGAGTGTAGCTTGAACAAAGGAGACCCCAAAACCCACCCTCACAGTACACAGTCCTCCAACAAGGCCACACCTACTTCAACAAAGCCATACCTCCTAACAGTGCCACTCCCTTTGGGGGTCATTTTCTTTCAAACTACCACATTCCACTCTGGGGGGCCTCCAAAGGCTTGTAGTCATATCATAATGCAAAAGTGCATTCAGTACAACTTCAAAAGTCCCTATAATCCACCATAGTCTTAAACTTCTATTTAAAAGTCTAAAGTTCAAAGTCTCTTCTGAGATTCATGCAATCTATTAACTGTAATCCCCTATAAAATCAAAATCAAAAGCAGATCACATACTTCCAACATAGAATGGCACAGGATATACATTACCATTCCAAAATGCAT